ATAAAAATGTATTATTGAATTAATATACTTTATAAGTTAATGATTGGCAGATGATAAAGTGATTTTTTCTCTTTTTTTTTTGACTAAATTTAATTGAATGTTGAAAGTGCATTATTTGACATTGTTTTCTTTGTTTATGTTTTTAAAAGTGATATTTATACACATGCAGTTGTTTGATTGACATTATGGTTTAAAATAGTAATTTTAAAAAAATTACTTGTTTTTTATAAAAAAAAATTGTATGTTCATGTTTGACTCAAAATTCAAATATTTATTTAAACGGTAATTTTCATTAAAATAATTGTTTTTAGACTCCATGGAAAGAAAAACAAAAACAAACGAAACATATTAATGACATAGATCTGTTTTATTAAAATTAAAATCCAAAATTCAATTAATATGACAATTACAATTAGACAGAGGTTTTGTGGAGATTGTAGTAATTTAATAAGTAAATTCATGGGTCAATTGAAACTAGATCACCACGGGAAATCTGGAAGCAATGGACGACCGTTTCAATCTAGTACAGGACTCCTCAGTAGTGTGCATCCAAGATCTCACCGCACAAAATTCGAACCAAGGACCTATTTTCCGGAGATCTAGTGGAAAGCCTTGACCAGTGGAGTTCAACCGAGTCCGTTGCAAGATAGTAGCTTACTTATGACAATGGTGGACAGTGGCGAAATTTCATGGATTACTTGAAGTTAGACATTAACACTGCTGGATGTCAACTCAGTGGTCTACAGGTTAAGTGTTTTACGCGCAAGACTGATAGGTCCTGGGTTCGAATCTCTCTAAGTGGGATCGTGGATGCACATTGTTGAGGAGTTTCACATTAAGATGAAACGTCCGTCTAATGCTTTCAGGTTCTCCAAGGTTATTTAGCTTCAACTGACTCATGAATTCAGTTATTAAATAATGATTACAGTAAAATAAATTAGTATATCAAAAATACCACTAAAGTTGACAGAAACTGTTTACAATCCAAATTGATTTTTAATAGAAACACTGAATTGAATTTTTTGGAAAATAAATAGATAAATTACCTTAAACTTAATCATATTCTTATTGTAGTTTAATTATGTAGTTAAAAATGTAAGTACACCAGTTAATGTTGATGTAAAATAGCATTGGTTGAGGTAGCTTGATTATCTGTCATGTATGTCTAGATATAATGGAACTTGAAGTTGAATGCTAGTTTAAATAGTAGAAGCTTTATTGTTTTATATCTACAAAATTGTACAAATTTATAAACTATTCTATGGGTGATCGGAATAATGTAATGAAATTCTAATATAAACCAACTATTTGGGATGTTTCATTGTATAATCTTAAATTTATTACAGTAGAACAGATTGACAAGGTTTAATCACCATTTAATAGAAAGCTTTTAACCGGATCCTTTAGTGACTGATAAACTCAGTGTTTTAAAAAAGTAGAACAGAATAAAGCACTATATTATCCATGTTAATGTAGGTAGGTGAGTAGTTTCAAAGTTCCTAACGAAAATATGTGACTAAAGGTCGAGTATACAAATGAAGGTTTAGTTAATCAGTTTTGTTAGTTTTATTGAAAGTTAAATATTTCTTATATTAGATTTGTAAAGTTATAATGGTTATCTAGAATGTTAACATCAACAAAGTTTTACTGAAATATACTTATTTCAATCTGTTTTGTCCCCAGAAGTATTGTAACCATCGGGAACAACGAGTCCATTTCACAAAAGTATTGCAAGGAAAAATATGAGAAAACATTCATGCAAATATCTAACTACTTGAATATTGATATGATTTTGCAACTAGTCAATTTTTGTTGATTGAAATTTCTATGATCAGTCATTTTTTTTAGATAAAAATGTCTTTCCTTGCTTCTATTCATGTTTAATTCATATTTTCAGATCCTTATAAGTAAACTCCCTTAGTAGACTGGATTTATTAATATGACATTGTGTCCTTCTATGACTTAAGAATGTATGTATTTTTTATTCATCTTAAAGAAATCGAACTCAAAAGTGTATCAAAATCGATTTTAAATTGTCGATATCTATTGTTGCATTAAAAACCCAGCTGACGTCTTTCTGGAATCAGACCGGTACTGGATTTTTCATAATTAATTTTATCAAATATTCATTTTGAATCACATCAATTCTTCACTCTGATGCTAGTCAAAACGAAATTATCTTTATTTATGTGCTGATAAGGTTTAAAGTGGTTGTATGTGTGTCTATTTGAAGACAATTTTTGTCGAAAACTGATATTAATTAACCAACGTTTGATCAATGATTATTTGCATTGGTTTATAGCATCTCAGTGATGTGCAGAAAATATCACACATGTAATCATACCTGTAACCATTAGATTTCAATATAATTGTCTAGCTGATCATTATTTGGTGGTCCACACTTAGCACTTCACAGTATAGCGTACTTCACATTAAATGTTTTTACTTATTACTTATTAGGCCGGTATTTCAAAACTAGAAGAAAAACTGTGGTGTTTCTAGGTTGATTATTTCGTAAAGTTTGGTCATAAAGTAAACTGTTATGCATAAAAATGTTCTAATATAATAGTTTCACGGAAACTAGATAGATTAACCTCATGTATTCTTGTAAATTAAGGTAATTTAAAATTCATGTACTTACATTTATATAGTTTGTTTGGCATCTTTTTCTAGTTTGTTACAAGGAACTAAATATACTGACATTATCTTGAAATAATAAAATGAACACTCGCTAAGCTGAATGATTGAATATCCGGCTACAACAGCGAGAATGATTTTATTCAACTATAACCTCAAAGAAATATAACATTTTATGGATGAGTCTACTTTTATCATTTTGTAAATAATTTTAATTAGATGTTATCGATTTGAGTATTTTGACACTTCATATTAATGTATTAAAAGTAAACTACAGATATTTAACACGGAAGAGTCAAAATAATGATAATAATTGCGATTGAAAATGAACATAGAGATCATAGTTCAAAAGGCATGAACGATGTTGAGAATCGAAATATCTTGACTTATTCAATGCTCAAGCTTTTTGATTTAAATTAATAATGTGAGTATATTTGAACTACCACAGACACTTTTCAGCATCATCGGTTGAAGACTCTAAGTATATATCAGAATTATCTAGTAAATTACAATACTTCTTTACAGAGCTCAATCCAACATTGATTAATTTTATGGATTGATATCGTTTTATAGTTTCTCTGCTCGTATGTTTTTATGCACTTAACACAATTATTAGTAATCATAATAACTGAAATTGTTTTTTTATTCAGTCTTTCAAGTACGGTTTTAATGTTCTGCACTCGTTTTATATAGTGAAGTTTCTAGTTTATGTTAATTAATAAGAAGGAAATTATATTTGTTAATATCATAATAATACAAATAAAAATATTTGAAGAACATCAAGTTAAATATTTATTTACTACTTATGTAATCGTATACACTTTAAAATCAATAGTTTCTGTAACTTTTCTTACAGGATTTGTAGTTAAATTGACTGAGACTAAGAGGAATGTTAAGTGAGAACTTAACATCTAAAATACTTTAGAACATATGAATGCCTGCTAATTTAAAGTCATTTGTGTGTGTGTGTGTTGTTTCATCAGTTGAATCAGAATCAATCAATTTGTCTAGTATTTTTTATACATGAAGTATATAATTTTTTATCAAAAAAAAAAGAAATTCCATAAATATGTAAAGATGATTAATTACAGTTTTGAGAGACACATAGTTACAATTAGCTCCCTTGGTTACTAACTAATTTGCTGTTTATTACTAATTCAAAAAAAGGATTAATTTTTACTGTTTGTTATGAATGTTTAATTGTATGCTGCCTTTGTATCACGTGATATATTGGATTAAAATAATAAAAAAATTTAACTATTTACTTTGGAAATTTTACACTGTGCAACTTAACTCTAGATCAACTTTTATAATTAATCAATCAAATGATTGTTAGAATACAATTTTAAGAGAAAAAGAAATATGAGCTACGAAATGGAATTGTTTATTAGAAAGAAGAAAGTATATTGTCAGTTGATTAAAGAAGCATGTATAAATTAGATCAAATGTTTTGACATATGATGAAATTAATTTCATTGGTTCTGAAAATATATACCATAATCTACGTAGATATGTTTACGATATTCTTTTATATGATTTACAAGGGTAAATAATAAAGCTGATTCCAATTACGTTAAAACATGTAACGACTTAATAAATGTGATATTTATAATTAAAACGGGATCGTACTACATTTTGTTTTAGCCGTTAAAGTTTTTTGTTTATAAAATGAAGTATTAAAACTTAACATTTTGGATAAAAGTCAACATTTATGGAGTTGCAAATATATCTTATGAATTTTAAGCAGTAATAGTATGCACAAATGATAGTTTCAGAGTATTATAGGAGAGTGGTTTAAATATCGAATAAATTTTTACAGAGTGATGATATAGTGGAAGCAATAAATCAGTCAGGTGTAATGACCTACTTTTTTGAAGAGAACAAGATTGGTGTAATGGAAACATTTATTATTATAGCCAGCTGTACCAGTAATTGTTTTATTGTACCTTTTTGTTTAATTGTATCAAAAACACACTTTTTCCGTTGGTTGTGACCTTAAACTTACGCAAGTATGCACGGTAGTCCCGCCTGTAAACTTTGGCACGATCTCGGTATTATTTCGATACCACGAGATCATCAACAAATATATCCTAACTACAATCCACAACTATCCTCTTAATATTATCCTACGGAGGGATTTTACCTGATAAGTGGCACGTAATCGGTTTGTAGTGGTGATCATAGTCAACTGCGACTCGACACTAATACACAGGTATGTTATCTAATTTTATATAATGATAATATGTCATATATTCCTTGAAAATCGAACTGTTAGACGAGAATTCGACTATCAGTGTAGAGATGAAGTGAATACATTACAACGTTTAGAATAATATTAATTATACAATTTTCGCCCATAAATGCTTTAATTTACTGTGAAATATGATAAAGAAATAATTTTACTGATTCATAGTTTAAAGTTCTATTATTTTATAAGGTAAGGTTGGTTTTGTATTGAAATTGTCATAATCATTTATTTTTCAGATGATCTTTGGATATCAATTGCACAAATATAGAATACGTTTAAATGCTAGTTGAATTATTAGTTTTTTTGGAATAGTTATATAAACTCACTTATGCTATATAAACTGTGTAGGATTTCAGTAGAACATATTCTATGCAGCAAAACAGCTTTTTATTTTATATTAAAATAGATGGACCTGAAAAACAGACATCTGCATAATTAAACTACTTGAGTTTGCGAGTTTTTTTTATAAACTAAAAACGTCACCTTCTTTACCATAGATGATAAGTTTATGAATAAGAAGGGCAAAGTTTCTAGCTTAAACTTGATAATTTAATGTTCCCTCTAAAAATGTAGTATTTTTTAAAGGGTGAATAAACTTATTATTATCTTTCATTGCACATTTTTGGGAAGCACAGAATTATAAAAGTTGAGAGCGATGCAGTTATTCATATGGTGGATCACTGAATGTTAAAACGAACTTATTGGGAATATGAACTATTGAAAAATGACTCAGTAGCTGATTGATATGATTCCTATTGCTACATATAAATATCCAATTTCATATGCCATATGAAGGTTTGATTGTACATTACTGGAATAAAAATCAGCTTAGCAAGTTGATAAGCCTAGATTTGTTATGTTACTGTTATACGCCGATGGTTGATTGTTTATCTCAGTTGTTTTTATTAACTAGAGATAAATTAATTTTCGCAATATTTTCTGGCATAACAGCTACGTAGGTGAATTTGAGACCAGGAGTTTTTTTTATCATTGGGATTATTAGGGTTGTAAATGATCTGTATTTGTTATGTTGAAGAGCTAACTTTCATCATACTATTTTCATAATTTTTTATGTATGGAATTATACAATAATGATAAGAATGTATTTCCAATAATTCTATACATATGTTTTCATCGTTATTTGCTTGATGGTCTTGAGATGGATATCAAATTGATTATTCATTCTTACTAATAAAAACGTATGGGGAATTAAAGAGATTTTTGACTGTTTTAAATGTTCAGATGACAGGACTGTTCAATGTAGTTTAAATACGGAGATATGTGAAATGTAACACAAAGGTTATTAAAGATTACAGTGAATTTCTAAAGGTTTTTGCTTCTTATTAGTCAAGGAGGAGTTGTATGAGACTTTCAAAAAAACCTAATAATCTTATGTCAGATGTACTGGCAATGTTAAATTTTATTATCAAAAGAGAAATATACGCTCCCAGTTCTCACCTACTTGATACCTTTCCGGTTGAGTACAATATTTCAGAATTATGTAGCTAATTTTCTTGATAATCTCGAAATATGAGTGAAGTATGATATGCATAAATGTATATATACAAATATGAGAAGACTTACCCAATTATAAAAATCCCAAAACATCCCGCCCATGTTAATATTCCTATTTTGTAGGTCACAAGAGTTGTAACATCTTTATGACAGTATGGACACACGGTATTCACTGGATCTGGTCCGGGAACAAAATGTGAATCGGTGATTATCGGACAAGGCTGTTCCACAACTACCGTATCTAAAAAGGTTTAAAATTTGTTCATTTTGATTACCAAGCGGATAAAGTAAATAACTGATTGTCATAAGTATAAAGTTTGCTTCTTGATGAGTTCTGTACAAGTGATATCTGAGAAAAATGAGCTCAATATGTTTGTGTTCTATTTAGAAGGAGAAATCTTTTGGGAATTAATGTTAAGTGACGAATTATGAATAGGGAACTAATAATTGTTTTTCTTGGTTCTATAGTAAAATACTGGGGACTGTAAAGAATAGAGATCGATGGTTAGAAACATTGATGTGTTTAGTAGGATATTTTAACTGGAAATGGTAAGTCACAGAGGTCATTTTTGCTGCAGTTTCTTTAGTTCATATGATAGAATTTCTACAAAAGATCAGATCTACGAATTCATCGGTGAACAAACATGATTTATTTTGGTAAAGTTTGATAACAGACACTTAACTGAAACATCGGATTTAGCGTTTCTGTCAAAATTCTTATTTTTATCTTGAGGAGACTGACCGTATTTATGCTCACAAAGTAATTTATAGCCCAGTATAAAATCGTAAGTACAGTAATGTAGTGAAACCCGAAAACTGCTAATAATTTCTTATTTGATTGTACAAGTGTTTATTTCAAGATGCAGAAGTTATGTATGAGCAAAAAGCTTATATGTTGCAGAATGCTGAAGCGTAAATTGATCCCATAATGAATTTCATATCTGTACACACAACTGCCGATTAGTACTGTATCTTGAGTGTGATAAAAAACGCTAATTGTTGGATAGAACAGAAATGATTAAAAAATGTTGTCAGTAGTTATAACGAACAGGAAAATAATTTGAAAATAATAGTCACATTAAACTGAAGTCAAATGTAAAAGCGTGGGAAAAGTTACTAGTCTACTATAAAAAGGAATGATATTTTTGGAACACGTTTGAGAAAATCAGCCCTCATCATTCGTTAGTCATGCATTACTTATGAAAAGTCAGCACAAAATATTCCCTATAACTGCGGTCACTTGTATATATAATCAAGTCATTGTTTTCTGGAGAATTAAGTCTGATTTAGGCATCTAAGCAAACATAATTTTGATGTAACTCATCCTCTATTTTTTGTTTCACTTTACTGGCAACATATGGGTATAATAAAGCTGAGAATTGTATGCGCAATACAAGTTTGAACTATGAACGAGACCTGTCATTTTGTAAATTTCATTTATTTATTGATTTAAATACATAAATATTGGTAAAAGAAGACACACCATGAACAGAAGCACAGCAAAACTCTAGAAACCGAACAGACTACGCGATGAATCTAAATAAAATTTCACTATTTCTACTCAGTCATGAGAAGTCAACAAAAACCTGATAACGGCATGACGAAACAATTGTTTTTTCTAGTCTGTGATTAGTTGAGTAAAGTTTGATACATTTGTTCATAGATTAAGGTCCCAAAACCAAATTAGCACAGGAAGATTAAGTTATAAGGCGAATACCAGGGCAGAAAAATGATAATTTCAGTGTTATTACAAAAGAATAGGCGTCGAAAATATTATTTAAGGAGAAAGAATGAATTTAACGGGTAAAATGAATGGGACAGTTACTATATTCAACATCTAAAAGGAGACAAAGAATGGATGTTTTGTGCCATAACAACTGGTTATAAGTCATACCACCCAGCGCTTTCAACCGTTGGCCACGATAATTCCAAAAACTACAGTATGGTAATCTACATAAAAAAAACATGGCTTAGTCCAAGCATCATTGAATTAATAGAATGAAACCACATCTTGGTCCGAGGATCATTAACTTTATTTAAACCTGATCCTGAAATGACAAATGTTGAGTGTTGTGGCAAGCGAAGGTTGAGGGTAGGTAATGCATGTCTTGACCGTTCCATTCAAAGAAGGTTATCGCTTCATCGACTAATTTTTCATGTTTACCTAATGTCCTGTATCTGACATCGGTATTTTTGAACCAGCGGTTTCAACACAAGCAAGCAATGCGCCCAAGGTGTGTATGATGAAATACAAATATTTTGCAAATGATGTATTCACTTCATGGTTCTCAGAATCTACCAGGATATTCTATAAAGTTGCATTAAAATACATTTGTTTGTCCCCACCCGTGTTATCGTTTACAACGCTGGTAACTTACAAATATCCCGTACTACCAAAGACCGTGTTTCATAGACAGACCAGAAAAAGGATATTTTGCACAGATCAATAATGTTCTGGTTATCATACGGATATCTTCCCCATGTCACAAATGGAATAAATTACTAGAAGTCAATTCTTTGATTAATTCTATAATTTAACCCAACACCTACTTACTGGGGTTGATGAGATTTCCAAGGCAATTTAAGTGAGGGACTTAGTACGTTATCCTCTATTATTAGTCTATACCTGACTGAGAAAGTCCAATCTTACCGTTTTAATTAATCAGAAAAGAATTAAAGGAAGGTCGATTGACATGTAATCGATAGGAAAAGCAGCTTGGTTTAAAAAAAGTTCAAATATATCGTACGGGTTTTCATCATATATTCAAGGTCATTACTTGTATTTAATCTGCACATTATGAGGTCTTCACCAAAAGACTCGGGTGTCTTTGATTTAATGAATCTACTCGTCATTTAAAACCAAACAGAAGTTTTGCTGGATAAAATCTTGAAAATAACTATCACTTCATCTTGGAATTTTTTAAAATTTCAAACTAAAACCTGATAAAGTTTATATCGTAGCATAGATCTTCTAATAAGCTCCACACGAAATATTTCACGAGACATTACTTTTACAGGCATTTAATTTTACAATATTTCAGTGGCTGGTTGCATCAGTGAAACGTAATTGTACATTGTTTAGATCAGTCAATAAACGCTTGAATAGCTGAGTAAAGGTAGCCCCAACTAACTCATAGCTTTGTCTTAGTCTATGGATAACTTTTAAAGGTAGAAGTTTAAAAACAGATTTGATTAAGAACTCTCTCAGGGCCTTTAAATATTGACTCAAACAAGTATATGCTGTAGTTCGCCCATGTTTGTTCGTGTTCTAGTCTTTGAATGAGTTTAACAAGTATACAAGGTGGAATGGTCAATAATTTCTGAAGGATGATAAACTTTTTAGGTAAATAAGAGATCTAACCCAAGTAAGGAATTTGCCTGTTGTTTAAAAACCCACTCTCCCGTTCATAAAAATCTAAGCCTGGAGATAAAGTAAGTCATTTTGAATCTGATTGTTATTTTACTGAGAAAAATTATCACCAGTTGGAAATATCAACTCTCCTGAAAATGTCTTTTATGTATTTACCATACCTTTCTGTCAACTCAAGAAGAGCAAAATCATAACAATTTTATGAGCACAAGCAACTTCATTGTTCCTCATACACTATAAAATCTGGCATTAGGTATCTAGAAATTATGATTCACTTTGAGAGATTGCTGAATTTTATTTTCTAATTAATAATTCTACGACAGAACACAAAAGCGCAAAGGAGGGGGAGTATCTCTATTCATTAGGAATGCTATCCCATTTGCCATTATCGATAGTGTATCCCATGAGAGTGGGACGTGTGAATTAGTTAGTCTTCGCTTAAAATGCAAGGGACAAGAGCTGCTGATTGGTTTGGTCTATCGCAGTCCAAGCTGTGAGGCAAATGAGATCCTGTTAAGCAGTCTCAATACTTGGTCCCAAAGTGGTCGATGTCTAATCCTAGGGGACTTTAATGCACCTATGGTAGACTGGGAAAATCTGCGAACTAAATCGTCGGAGAATTCTTTCGAGCAGGAACTAGTTGATGCGGTTATCACATGTGCCCTAGTGCAACATGTGAAAGAAGCGACAAGGTACGATCCGGACACTGAATCATCCTTATTAGATCTTATACTGACTCACTATGAGGATGATGTTGCGAACCTCCATCATATGCCACCCTTAGGTAAAAGTGACCACGCAGTTTTAACTTTCGACTTCCATATAACTGCCAGTCATGAGGACGCGTCAGTCCAGTCCAGACCCAACGTCTGGAAAGCAAACATACCAGACATCATGCACTCAGCATCGTTAATAGATTGGACAATAGACCCAGAGTCCTCCATTGAAACGGCCTGGGACGCATTTCGAAATTCATACTTAAAAGTTACCACACCTCACATCCCTTGGACTATACCAAAGGGGCCGAAAAACTCACCACCATGGTTCAGTAGGGAGGTCCGTATCCTTCTCCGTAAGAAAAGGAAAATGTGGGATAGATTTAGGTTACTGGGGACTGATGAGTCAAAATCTCAGTATCGAAAGGCTCGGAACACTTGTGCCTCGACCCTCCGTAAGTCTAGAAAATTGTACGAAGAAAAACTTGTTAAGGAATCCATAGAATGTCCTAAACGCTTGTATTCCTATATAAACCAAAGGACAAGGAGAAAAGGAAATATTCCTGCTCTATGGGGAGACAGTACTGCTTCATCATTAGTGGAGGACGACTTTGGTAAGGCTCAAGCGTTCTCGAACTACTTTAGCAACGTGTATACCATAGAAGCGCCCTTCTCGTCAGCGTATACAGATCCCCCCATACATACACTGGATAGCGTGACCATTAAAGAACTCGATGTCTTTGGTCTGCTAAATAAGCTTGACATAGGTAAATCCACGGGGCCCGATGAATTACATCCTAGGCTACTGAAGGAATTATCTAACTTCGTTGCAAGCCCTTTAAGTACATGCTTTAACCTATCCGTTACGCAGGGTCGCTTACCGAAAGATTGGAAAAACGCCATAGTAAGTCCTGTCTTCAAAACAGGCACGAAACACAAACCTGAGAACTACCGCCCCGTTAGCCTAACTAGTGTGGTTGTTAAAATCTTAGAAAAGATTATTCGGAAGGAGCTGTTTAAGTATCTCGATAAAAACCGGATCCTCTCGGAGAAGCAGCACGGCTTCAGAATAGGTTATTCTTGTCTCACTAACTTATTAGTGGCTCGTGAAAGCTGGTGCGCTCTTAAGGACCAAAAGCTACCTGTAGACGTCGCCTTCATTGATTTCAGTAAAGCTTTTGATAAAGTTCCGCACAACCGGCTGTTATATAAGTTAAGAAAAGTCGGGATTGGAGGCAATTTATTGATGTGGATAAAAGACTTCTTAGTTGGGCGTCAACAAAGAGTAAGGGTGAACTCAAAGTTATCTAGCTGGGAAACTGTGCTTAGTGGAGTGCCCCAGGGTACAGTTTTGGGGCCAGTGCTATTCCTCTTGTATGTAAATGACCTTCCTTGTCTCCTATCATCATCGGTCTTGCTATATGCTGACGATGTCAAGATATGGAGAACGATACGATGTAAGAGTGATAGCTTAGAACTTCAAAATGACCTGAAGAAGTTATCTGAATGGTCTCAAACATGGCAGTTGCCGATAAATACTTCCAAGTGTGTTGTGATGCATATCGGTCATCAAGGCACAGATACATACACGATGAATAACACTGAGCTACCTGTCGTCCAGACATATAATGACTTAGGAGTTATCGTTAGTCAAGACTTAAAGACTACTGCACACTGCCGTGCAATAGCCGCCAAAAGTTTTAGAACGTTATGGTCAATACGTAGGGCTTTTAGTCATGTCGACGCTAAAACGTTTTTGACTTTGTATACAGTGTTCGTTCGTCCTAAACTTGAGTACTGCATACAAGCGGCTAGCCCCTGCTTAAAAAAGACAGTGAGCTTCTGGAAAAGGTTCAGAGAACGGCGACTAAGCTGGTTCCCGGAATAGCGAAGCTTCCGTATGAATCTCGACTGGCCAAGCTGAACCTTTTCCCGTTGTCATATCGCAGAACTAGAGGCGACTTGATTACAGTCTACAAATTGCTTAGTGATAAATTTGCACCTCATTTTTCTTGTCTTCCAAAACAGAGAATTTACGAGGACACTCCAAAAAAGTTCATAAGCCGAGAACAAATTACTTGTCAGCTGACTATCGACTTTCCCATCGAATCATCAACGAGTGGAATTCACTACCTCAGCACGTGGTTGAGGCTCCATCCGTCGACTCTTTCAAAAGAAAGTTGGATCAACTGAGAGACCACCATTGCCAGGACTAACATAGGCCATCGAGCCTCCTGTCCTTCACAAACTGAAACTGCAATTGTTTTACGGCATTTACGAGACCATAAACTGTAAGCGAAGCTTTTGGAATGTGGATAAAAGGTACTACCCTATGTTCTTTGTGTTGGGGCATTTTATGTGTTGAATTTATTATTTCACTTTTCAGTAGCTTTCAAATCTTTGTTGACAAATGTGCTCTAAATATTTGAAATATCATATTATTTATCTTGATGATACATAATTCATGGTTGGATGTGGCAATTTCAACACCACGATACTATAGTTATGATACACAGAATGCAAACAAGATGGGAGACCACAGTGTTCTGAAGAAACAAATATGTTGATAGGAGGAATAGACTGTTGAACTCAGGATTACCAAACTGATGATATAGATGTAGAGAGCTGTATCAGATATGTTCTTTATACTTAAACAAGTGCTCTTATATCGTATTAAAGCTCAAAAGACTGACGCTGACGCTAGATAGAACGAATCATTAAAGGCTTTGTGATCTGTCGTAACCACTCCGAAAAACGATAATGATAGTCAACATCAAAATTTGGACGAAAATGACAATTATTACAGTCTGACCATGATCGATATGTCTTTTTAAATAAACAGGAGGTAAAAACTACGACATCGGGTTCTGATTTGAAATATTTGAGTAACATCCAGTTATATCACTTACGCTTATAATTCTAAGGGTGAAATCGAAAGACAATCACGAACTTTAAATATATTGTCATAGACGTGTATTGTACCACACTGACCAGAAACACGAAAAGAAATTCAAGCAGTTTTTTGTAAGGAGGCTGTAAACTATTGGCGAACCAATCAGACCTAAGGTAACGACACATGGATTTCGGCGCGAAATCCTTACATCAATATGACTAAATTACATTTTGGCAACATAGCTGATGTTGATCCGCGATGAAACATCTAATTTCAGTTCCTTTTATTATTTTACGGCTTTAGCTTTTAGTCATGATTCCTCATACTAATTTATAACCATATTTTGATCACATTATTTGGTTGAGAATTTTCAATGTCACCTCAGTCCCTTACAGAGGCAGTCCACAAATTATAGACTAGCCTGAATAAAAATTTCGAAATATTTCTAAACTTAGCTTGATCAAAGTAGTACTGGATAGTCCAAACACAAACAACTGTTCTTACCAGGATATTGGGGGGAAATGGTTGCGGAAGACCGTCGAGATCCGGAGACTTTGGATATGGTGGGTCCGCTTTGTCTTAATTCAGTTATATTTTGGTCGGATTTTGTCTTACCAGCACTCATTTTGAAATACAATTATTGAAAGCAGTTCAACTAGTACACTCTCGCGATAGGTGGTACGCTTTTTGAATTTCCAAAAGCTACGTGACCTTCTACTGAATGATTAAAAAATATGGTGAACAATCATTTCAAGTGATTGTGTCAAAAGCAGAGCTTCCGAACAATGTCTTTATGGTCTAGTAGCCGAAGATCACTAGTATCTCAGAAAATACAGATATGTATAAATATGGTTTTAACAGGTCAGTGTATAGATCGTTAAAGAAATATAATTTCTTCTTTCAAAAGATGTTTCTGAGAGATCATTAGGAGAAATACGGCCTAAAGTTTGATGGTCAAGTAGAGGTACGCTAATTTAAGGTTAAATAAGTATTCTGTCATTCAGTCACAACAGAATATCCAAGACAGAATATCCTAGTTTTGGTGTGCGTTGCTCTGATATATGCTAGGTCATTTTATTTTTATGGAGTATTTTATGGTATGGAGTATTTTTATGGAGTATTTTATGGAGTCGTTTAATGTAATATTATAGATAAGCTCTCGAGTACCTAGTAATAACTCCGGGTCAAACAAAAGCTTATATATTACTTGTTGAGTGTCCTTTTCTTTTGGAAAATAATCACCTCTATCACTTTCAGTGCTTTTAAAATTTTCTCCTCAGTTCACGCTAACCACTTCGAACAAATCGAAGAATTTTAACTAAATATGTGTTCTGCTAATTCTTTTTAAGTGTTTGATCTGGCGACAGCGTTATTTCTTGAGTTCTTCTTCCTGATCTGTATGTTAACGACTATCCAAGACTCATTTGTTTCTTGATTTCACAATATTTGTCGATCATTCATAACTTGACTGTCGTTAAAATTTCTCCGGAGATTTAATTCTCACTGGACTTAATGTTTCGGTGTTGAGCGGTTTACCATTATCGTTCTCTAGCTATCTGCTGGAAGGGATTATTACTACACTAGATTTTTGGAGATGGACGTTTAGCCCACTTTTTGTGAATATAAGATAATCGTTTCTAACGTTCGGGTTAAATGAAAGAAACTTGGCCAACTTCGTGTTCATCAGAGGGACGGTAATTTGGCGCCTGATGCTTTATCAAGTAGTGTTATTATTTTTTCGATGCAACAAAATACATCAACTTAGAAGACATAATATTATCATGAGTACATACCTATCTCCATTAGAAAATTGATGTCGGTTCTTTCTCAGGAATAATTGTTCTCCTCTGGTTACCCTATTGCATAGAATTTCCAAACTAGTAACGAGCTGATCTTTAGTTCGAATAATCCATAGAACGAGAGTATTTGACTGTGACTATTCTTTACCACATACGCAGCTGGTATTTTTAGTGCCTAAAAATATGACTACGAATATGGAGGTGGGATAATGCTTACACTCGTTATCACGGAGGTAAAATCACTCTTTACACAACAATCTCTCAAGGAAGCTTCTTAAGCCTGATCAAAGGCTTGATACGTCTGGATGGTCAATGTACTCCCCCTTCATTTACGCTATTCACAAATATAATCATAGGGAAAAGTCGTTTCAAGAGATGGGTGATAGCAAGCCCTAGCCAAAATGTCTCCACACTAGCAATCGCTGAAGTATTTGTTGAGAACTAAACCACTAGTTGAAATCTCCAGCCATCGATCGATTCATATCAATACAGTCGCTTGTTACCTAGTAGCTTATATTTCAGTGTACTACTCCTATCTCTAGCTGGGAGTTCGTTATTGTAGAAGAGAGATGTACTGACTCTAACTCTCGTCCGCATGCAGTCTGCTGTGTACGAAAATCGATCGACGAGACAAAATAAATAGCCACTCATCATAATTCGTTAGCTATCACCAACAAATGATGAAATAATTAAAACCAGTTTCCTAAGGAATCATTACTCGTCAAAAGCAAGTTCGATAAAACTTAGTATTAGATTCGCTTTTCCCTTTTGGAGCAAGTTAAAAAGCCCCTAATACCATCAACCAAAGGTTTCTACAATGCAACATGGCGTCTGGAAAAAGAATTTTTCATCGGTCAAAGTGAGGGGGAGTTTATCTCTACTGACAGATAGAGACCAGCTTTGAATGTTAATCAACAGCATAAGGAAGTTTGATCCTCTATGTCATGAAACTTCAGGCAGAAATCGGCACACTCATAGTCCTGGTCGTATGAACTGTCTCAGGAGAATTGCAAACCAATATGAATATTTATTTTTTAGTCATTTCACTAGGAAGCAAAGGGGTGGTTCTTTGTAACACAGCTTACATGCATAAATTTACTCATTCTTCTTAACAATATGGTATGTTTCGTTCCACCTACGAATGCTGAATTCGATGAATTGCTATTACTCACAATCTACACAGATTTTTTAACGATTGCTCAGTAAGACGCGAGTGTTTTGGTGACTAGTATTTCTTTGTTTTTTGTCAAGGAACGTTTTTCTTAAAGCTCTTTTGATAATTTTTGCTAATTTGAACTCTTTGTTTGGTTCCTAAGCTATTCTGGTAACCCGCAAGCTAGAACTACGCGGCGACCTGAACAAGAGAGAAAAGTCGCAAATTAAGCGAAAAGCACTTTACTCCGAAATTTCATTCTTGTACAGAAAAACAAGGGTATTTATAGACTATTAGCATTTGTCAAATCAACATTATACTTTGACTAATCCGCTAAGAGACATTATGCTACTGACCATTAGTAGTATACCACGTTGATGTTCCAGAAAGCTCCCTCAAGCTCTGACTGGATGAAGCTCTTCAGCTCCATTGGGGTCTCTGAAGGCTCCGTTGTAGTTCTCGGAAGCCGACTCAACATCTTTTAAAATCCTTAGTCTAAGCTTGTCAATTGATAAAGTTGTAGCGTGGCGTCGAGTTGAGATTAACTATGAACACCGCTACCAAGAAACACGTGCCAAATAAATCAGAAGGCGAAGGTTGGAAGTAACCAAATAAATCCATAAAATCCCCGAGAAGCCAAATATCAGAAGACAGTTAATGGACCAAATCGAGATGTATTCGCTGGCGATCTCGTGGCATCGAAAGGATACCGAGATCGTGCCAGAATACAAGCTTGGTTACAGAACGTAACCAAATTCGCGCGAAGTTACAATCGAAGTGTAAGTAAAAGAATGGAAGCACAAAATAGCTGTCATTAGCACAGTCAAACAAAAGCACGTTAAAACAAACACTGGTACAGTTGGTTATAATAATAATTGTTTTTATTAAACCAGTCGTGTTCTCGTGATAAATGTGAGTCACTACAAAGTAATATTGAAAAGTGATACTAGAAAGCCAAATATGAATGTTTATGGGAGAGCTCATTTTGGACGCAAACAGGAATCGATTCGTATTTATCACCTAATAGGAATTATGTATAGATGTAGATGAATGAGAGTATTTATATTAGGATTCTGTGTTATTTCCTTGACGCTAAAAAAATATTTAGTTCGTAAACCAATATAGGGCACTTAGTTGAAGCACTGGGTTTAATGCTAAGGTGTACGTGACAAAATACCAAATAAAATAAGACCAAGCTAAGGGTAACTTATGAACTAATTAATTATCAAAGGTTCAGTAGGATGTTTAAGAGTATACAAAATTAGACCATTACAATACTATCAGTCAGTAGTGATATTATTATGCTGATTTACTCCTAATAATAGTGAATATATATTTAGTGCGTATAAATGACTTATTAACAACCATTATGGTGCTCGAAATTTTATGTGAAACGGTAAGACGGTACATAATATGACGTAGTTTTCTTGTAGATACGTGGTTAAATTTTAGACTTAAGTCAAAACTGTAGATATCTTTGTTTGAATTACTGGTTACGCTCATCTATAACTTTAGGTCACCTGTGGAAAATTCTCGTCGTTACTTGTCAGTCTTTATCTACGGTGAAAATGTTTAACCACCCTGTCAACACGAGGATGATATGTTGTTAAAGTCTGGGAGTTTAGCTCAAATCCGGATCGGGTTTCTCCGTCAGTTATTATTGTGAAAGATGTGCCGAAAAGTATCATGACTAAATCTTTTAATGATTCACCTTTTTGTGTATGGTGCATAGGACGTGGCCCGGTTGGGAGACCTCTTCCATTATTCTATTTTCAATACGGGCTGAATGAGATAAAATGTCCGAATCGTGAACATCTAAATAGTGGTGGATGTAACATGGAGGAGCTTATATTCATTTTTTAGGGCTACACCACCGACTGTGTTGTCTCCCACTAAGACTTGGAGGTGACGCAAAAGCTGTGATGGTGATTTATCACCTAAAGTTTCTACTTAGAAAAGACTTCGGATTCTTTGACCGTCTGGCAAAGAGAGATGGTTCATTATCTCTCGTCTTAAAATGCTGTACGGTTGTGATGTTGGTGAAATCAAAATTGAGTCGCGTTTTTCTCTGGTGGCTGAAATAGGGAAGACATAGTATCGTTTTCATACAATGTGATAATAAACAGTCTAAATATTTAGTGTACAAATAGAGGAAAAAAATATAACGACGAGTGTATTTTGACTAAAGAACACTGATATTACGAATTAATATTTTCAACTTTGTTGAGCGAAAATTGTTTGCTTTGTAATTCTAAAGGTATGCGTCGGTGGTGTAAGCGATAGTTATTGATGATAAGATTACGTTTTCCAATGTATCTGTATGATAAATATAGTTAATCGAAAGGACGTACTAACTAGGAATTCCCGAAACAGAGCAATTTAAATCACATAGAACTAGATGAGCACAGACGAACGTATCGTATCTGGAATTCATAAGAGTGGAGAAATGTATTGGGAAACTTAATTTATCATTTAACGGAAACGAGACAGCTATTAAATATTCCCCAGTTAATAATGCTTCTTTAATAGTTGCAAGTAGATGAAGGAAAACACCTTCGAACAGTACGAATTTCTCCACAAAACTTTAAAGATTGTGTATATATTGGTTTTCTGGTGATACTCAGTTTACAGAAAACTGGTAAATTATTGGAATGCCATAAAAAATCTGCAGAA